ATAAGGAGCAAATAAACCTATCAAAGATAGCTGCAATTACAAATATATATATAAGGTTACCAAGTATACAGATGCAAATATGGTGACCAATATAATACTTTCCTCTCTATCTGTACTCTATATGATAGTCAGAAATATTGTATATTCTGATAAAATTATAATTCTAGATTTTGAGAATTAACAGCTAGTTTTCCTTTTCATTAACTTTATGGTTGGAGCACTTCTTTGAAATTACTAAACTGATATCCTTGACATATAGAAAACTATCTTCTCATCATATAAGGAAAGTGAGGGAAAGGAATGAAACATAGGGGAGCAGAGGAGGCTTCCTACACGCTCACTGTAAAGCCACCATCAAAGATTTGACTACACAGGGTAGGCTAATTTCTGCATCCTTCCTCATTCAGTCCTCATACTCAAATCTTACAAACCATTGGTGGATTGTAGCAAATGATGCTAATTCTCCCATAAGAAACATAGGTTAGAGTCCCTTGGAACAGACTCTGAGATGAAGATTTATATGAAACAATCTTCTTATAGAATGCTCTTGGAATCTAAATTCAAGGGAGGCAGACAGGCAGGCAGGCAGAAGAATGAATGGATGGGCAGACAGACTGGGTAAATGCAAAAGTCAAGGCAATATACTTCTTCAATGAAAATCTCTGCCAACCCCATAGGGAGCTCTTAGACTCAAGTTGGGGTGAGAGGGGTTAGACTTCCTGCTCCTCTTTCCCCAGAAGAAGAAATAACAAGGAATGTGTGGCTCTTTTCAGCCAAGGCCATTTTCCTAAAGAGGATGAAGGCAAGTACTCTGGACAACTAGAAAATACATACTTTATTTCTGATGAGAAATCTAGGCAGTGAATCTCAGTATTTCCCATGATAACCTTAGTTTGGTGGTGACTCAAATCTCAACTTCTCTAGATGTTTCTGTTACTAAAGGGAACAATATGCCCTCTAGAACTTGGTTTGTAAATACTATTAAATAAATAGGCCACCCAATGTTGTCATCTATGGAACTGAACTCTCTGAAGATGAAGTTGATATATATGTTTTTACAAAGACACCCAATGTAGTTCATAGACCTTAATTTTGGAATTATCAGTTGGTGGCTGTGCTTCTGTAATTCTGGACAGTAGGATGTTAATGGAGATCCATGTACAGCTTTTGGGTCATGCTCTTAAAAAGCAAGAACATACAGTCCCTCTTCTCCCATTTTTCTTTCTTATAAACTAGAATAAGATGGTAGAGGCTACAGCAAACCATTATGGGTTTTCAAGATGGAAGGTGTGTGTTGGAAATGGCAGAACCAATAGATGCAAGATGCTATTCATGGCCATACCTGGTGTGATCACCTACCCAGTCTTGTGCCTGAGAGAGAAATAAAATCTTCTCTCTTGAATTACTATTATTTTGGGGTTTCTATAATCCATTTAAATCATAATAATACAGAGATAATGGCCTCTCACCTCTAAAGGACAGGCTTTTGTACTTTGTTTACCTACACCAGGAAATAGACTCATTTGGTTTTGGAAATAACAAGATCTTTCTTAGGTCCATTCATTGGATGATGGAAAAATTATTAATTCTTGAGAACAGATCAAAACAACAGCTGTTCAGATTATCAGTGATTCAATATAGTCTGTACCAATCAAACGGCTCTGGAAGAATCTACAGAAGAAAAATAAGGTTTAATGAGGCCAATGACAAGTTCAACTATAATTATAGCAATAAAGCCTTCAGGAGTTTTGGAGCAAGATCAAACAGACTTTTGGAGCAGCTATTTTATTTTTTAATAAATATTAGCTTTCTGACAATACTGTAATAACAGATCACCATGAGTGAGAATAGCTCATCCTGGACCTGGGCATTAGCTTATCTTCATAGCTATGGAACTCTACATTTGCAGTAACAATGCATGAATTCTAAGTCATATACACAAGCTAGGTCTCATTTGGGCCCATTTAGGGCTCAAAGATATAAGTCCGGTCCATGAGATGGTTTCTTACTGCCCACGGTGTGCTACCACTATATGCCTACCACATTTCTCTAATTTTGTCTTTTGTTTGCTTTTGCTCGGAGGAGGTGGTGTGGTTTACATCTGGTTTGTCCCCACCAAAGCTTATGTTGAGGTTTCAATGCAAACATAGTTGAAGGTGGAAGTTGAAGTTGGAAGGTGGAATCTAGTGGTAGAGATCTAGATCTTGGAGGTAGGACTGGGACAAATTCACTTATGCTGTCATGTAGAAGGAAACAAGCAACTCCCACAGGAGTGAGTTCTCAGGCTCAGAGAACTGAGTTAGTTCCTGTGAGATCGGGTCATTAAAGGTATCAAGTCTTTTTGTTATATGACCTCCATGTGATACCACCAACCACACTGCAGCACCTAAGGGCCCCACTAGACATAGCCACCCAATTTTGAATGTCTCTACCTCCAGAACTATGAGCTAAATAAATCTCTTATTAATTTTCCAATCTCTGGTATTTTGTTATAGCAACTGAAAATGGACTAAGATAAAGTATTTGCTTATGTTCCTTTGACATTGGATGACAAGTCAGGGTAGATATTGTATGGCCCCATTATCGGTAAAAAGTAAGCCACACAGGATTACAACCTAAGCAGGGGACATAAGAACTACCATAAAGGAAAATTCTCTTCAGCCTTTGTGCTTGATATAAGGCTGATTGACCTGAATTCAGGACTTACACTGGTCCTGAGAAGTAGCAAACTTGAATAAATAGCTAAAGATTAAAAAGAGGGAAATTGGAGTAGGATGCCAAGAAGAGTTGGGGAAATTATATGTGTAATCCAGAATTAATCTGGGGCTGAACATAAGTGGTTGCTCATCAAAGCTTCCCTACCAGGACCTTGTTGGGAGAATCAGGTAATGAACATGAGCTCACTTTGGTCATCACATTTGTAACGGTCAGTAAGGCTTCTTCCTTTTCTTGCCCAGTAGTGGCTAAATGAGGTTAATAAATTCAGTGGCAATTGTGGCAGAGGTCATGCATGGGTTCAGCAGCCTAAATTTCTCCCTGAAGCCATTTGAATACCACTGTGCCAGCAACAGAATGCTCTGTCCTTTTTGCTATTGTTATGGAGTGCCAGTTAATCATTTGGTAACTAATCTTTTTCTGGTGAGAAGAGGTCAGTATTTGTTTTCTCCAAGAGAACCAATTACTGCCTTTTTTTTTTTTTGATCTAATATGCCTCAACAAACACTGCTATGGAATTATTGAATACTTTATTCACTGCTATCAAATACTGCACAACACTGCTTCCAACCAAGGAATTTATTTCCAAGAAAAGAGAGGCAATAGGGATATACAGTATTATTGCCTAAGTTTTCAGGTGGCAGCTCTTAAATTTGGCCTATGGAGCACACAATTTTGATAGTAGATGATATGACCTTGCAAGATGGTATGCTGATGGAAGGATGTAACGTATTAGTTGGAACAGAAATCAATATTGACATTATCTGTCTTGTCCTAAAATTCTCAGCCAGCTACTTGAGGATTTTCATAATTCCAAATTAAGCCTTGCAAAGCAGAAGAGGCGTTTGTTATATTGTCTGAGATGATCAATTCTGTCAAGGGAAAATAGCATAGCTACCCCAGTAAGATGTGAAATGTGGGTACATTGTTGACTTCAGGTTCTACCATTCACTGAGATAAAGGGTATCTTCCTCCTTTGGATTATCTAGGATTCAAACTCTTCATATTTTTGCCAACCAATTAACTCTGGTATGCTTTGAAGGGAAGAAAAATCTAGAATCAGTGACAAGAACTGAGGAAAGTCAAAGGCCTTGGAGACTGAGTGTTGAAGTAATGTCAGTCATTTATGGAGTTATTATTCATCTTTGGTGGCAATTACCAATTTTTCACCCACCACTGGACATACAATGCTTGATGGTGTGATTTGCCTTTTGTCCAAATGATATAGAAAAGTGAGGGGTAGTACATAAATGGGTTGCACTAAATCAGTTTCACCTGCATGTTGGGAAAGGATGTGTTAATTGCACATTTTTATATATGTAAATATTGCTATGCTAAAGTGCACTTCAATATGGATACACAAGAAGGATATATGTGAGGATATAAAGCAACAGATACACTGCAGATGATCGCCATTATGTGAATCTAATTCAACTTCCTTTAGCTAAAGCTAATGCAGGTATCCAAATATAGAGGAGTGGTGGGTGATATTTGCTTGTCATCTTGCTGATGGAGTATTTATAGAACATCCAGAGGGAGACGATAAATTCAAAGCGGTATCAATGTATCTGAAATTCAGGAAAGAGTTTGGGGAGGTGACAGATACTAAAAATTCTGTGTGTAAATACATATGCATTTGAGTGGATGAAATCTGTCAGAGCCTGAGTAAACTAAGAGGAACAGAATGCAGTGGGGAAATGAAAATGCAAAGCTGAGATGAATGTAAATGGAGAAGGAAAGTCGTACAGAAGCAGGAGTGCTAGCTTAGGAGGATGCCATAGGAACGGTGAGGGAAATGCAAGAGAGGAAGAGGAGAAAAGACGGCAAACTCTAAGGAGAAAGGAAAAGAGTGGTCACGGTGTCCTAGGAGAGGGTGCTGGGGTAGAAGGAAAGGGACATGCATAGAGTAGTGGGAAAAGAAGGCTATGATTTCACAAGCAGTGAGAAGAGGAAAAGCAGCAGGTTAGTGACCTAAGGAGATAGGGTAGAAGAAAGGTGCATTAGAGTCCTGACGCGCCTCTGTATCTCTTAACTTGCAGATTTTATTTCTTTTTTTATCCCCACTCCAGTACTTTGGGTTGAAGTCAGGGCTATTACACTGAGCTACGTCCCTTTCTTTATGCTTTAAAATGACACAGGCTCTCAGAAAGTGGCAGAGGCTGGACTTGAATTTGTGACCCTCCTACCTCCACCTTGTAGGGTGCTCAAATTATAGCTGTCCACCACCCTGCCCAGCTGCCTTGCAGAATTCTTACTGCTTTAAAACAAATACATATGCTCAACAATTGCTTGCAAAGTTGTATTTATTTTTCAGGGCCAGCCAACCAGAAAAACAAATGTCTTATTATATGCATTCATGCTGAGTAAGATACCAGCATTATTTTTACTCTTTCATGACTTTTTTTCTTCACTCATAAAATAAATACAACTACAAATGTGGGGTGAGAATCAGCGAGTGGCTGAGGTTTGGGAATTTTGGCACAGGTCAGCACAGGAGCAAGTGGTGGTGTGCCTATATCTGTAAGACAGTGTGCTGCCGTCCGGACAATCCAGGGCAATCTCTCTGTACTCATAGTTTTCTTCCCGGCAGCAAAGACATGAATTTTCCAACTGAAAGAGGTCATAATTGTACCTAAAAGAAAACAAAATTCAGGAATGAACATGTCTGAAATGCCTTAGCATAAATTGCCATCCATATTTGCACTCTGATGAACTGTCTAAGCGACTTAAGCTTCTAAGCAATGCAGTCTTTTCCCAGACCTTGCATCTTATCCCTGCAAATCTCTGACACAGGTCAATGATAATTGGTAGGTAAGACCTCAAGAATCAGAAGCCAAAAAAGAAGATTCATAATTTTGTAAGTAAGATATTATGTTGCAAAAAGTAAACAAGATAGATTTCTAAACATCCCATATACTGCCAAAATATTTTCTGTATCACTCTATCTGTAAAATGGTACATACAGAGAAAATATACACCTCTAAAATTCAAGTTGAAAAATAATTTGAGAAATATACTCGCTTAAGTACTCACTGAAGTCCCTGCAAAAAGATGCATACCTTTGCCACCAGTAGGATAGGGGTGCTTCTAAAACTACCTCTGAATGACTCCTCACTATCTGTAATGTTTGTTTAAATGCCCAGGTCTTCATTTAGGTATTTGTTTCAGGAGGTCTTAATCATCAGACAGTATAGCTCTCGTATAAAAATTTCCCTATGTAAGGTTTAAAGCTTACTTTCTTCCACAGCTTACAAAGTACGTGCACATGGCGCAGTCACAGAAGAACTCACCGGATGGTTTTTTTACATTCCCCGAGGCATCTTGCCATCTCGACTTTTTTCTTGCAGTTGTTGTAGTTCACCGTCACGTTCACAGGGGAAGGTCTGCAATCTGTGTTACCTGCAGCAAAGAGGGTAACAGAGGAGCAAGTGAGACTTCACGTGTTCACAAGTGCTAAGCCCGCTTTGTCTTAGCCATAGGAAATCATAGTCTCAAGTATTAGTGTTCATAAGGGTATTAACTATTTCAGCACCCAGGACTAGGCAGCCGGTTAACAGATACATTTTACCTGATTGTTGCTATTATCGATATAGGCAGAAGAAGAGGAATTAAGTAGAAGGAACGGGGTGGGGGAAGGAGGGACATGGATTCGTTTTGATCAGTGTTTTCTCACTGCCAATCACCCGCCTGCAGGCTCACAACGCAACTTGATTCTAGGAGAGCCAGGTAATCTTTTTCTAAGGTTTTTTTCCCTTGTAAACGTAACTGGTTTATACAGGGCAGAATGCGGCAACCAACAAGAATATGTAACTATAGGTAAGTATCAATCGGTAGTGTAACATATACGTTGGATTACCTATTAAAAATATAGGGAATTTTCTGTTCATGATCTGACATTTTGTTTTAAAGAAATGTTAAATTTTTATCAACAACTTACATTTCTCTAAAGGGGCAGGTTAACTTACATTTATAGCAACATTTGTTTTCATCATAGGTTCTTTCTTTCTGTAAAGAGAAAGAAATAAGAAAATGTCTTTTATATTTTTCTATAAACATAGGATCAGAAATGGGGAGATGGAAGGGAGGAAAATGCTGTTGTCAGATCCACAGGAGACACAAAGAAGGAGGGTGTGTTTAGTAATAAAAATAAGACTTAAAATTTAGACACAAATTTCCTACGCTAGTTAAGAAAACAATGTTTAATCCAAATTATTTTAAAAGAACATGCAAAAAATAAACACAGATTATCCTCATTTTAAATAAATATTTTAACAATCAATGATATTAGAGGTTTCTCGGGGCTAGGGATTTAGCTCAGCAGCAAAGCGCCTGCCTGGCAAGTGCAAGGTCGTGAGTTCGGTTCCCGGTACCGGAGAAAAACCAAAAAAATTAGAGGTTTCTCATAATCAAGATCTGTACCCTGGGCTTTGTTATAATTTCAGACCCACTAATATCTCAAAGTGAACACTCCATGAAATATTAAAATCCAGTGTTAGAGGTATACAACTTGACACTATATTATACACTGTAACTTCAGAAAAAATGATAATTTGAAGCCAAGATTTCATTAATTGAATTGAATCACTAATACAAAAACCTCTATCATATTTGGAGGCATAAAATGTGAAGTAATTGCAGCTTTTTTTTTTTTTTCCGGTACCAGGAATTGAACTCAGGACCTTGCGCTTGCCAGGCAGGTGCTGTGCCACTGAGCTAACTCCCCAGCCTCTGGTAATTGCAGCTTAAAGAAAGATATGAACAGTACACATATATGTGATTACGAATATTTATATTTTTATTAAAATGATAAAATGGCAAGGTTTCATTTGTTTATAGAAATAGCAAAATGTTTTGTACAACAACCTACTCTTACAGTAGCACTAAAGTTTTATAAAGCCTACAAAATGTGAGTCTTTCTTGATATGAAAGGTATGCGCACTTAGTAAAAGGTAGATGAACTTGGAATCCTTTGGCTCCTGACGTGATACGTGAAAGATCTGTGTTACCAATGAGATTTAGGTCTGTTGTTCAGGTGCAAATATTTCCAAGTGAGAAAGGAAACAGGTTGCGTTTGTGTTTAACACGAAGTGGTCTTGCTGTTGAGTAGCTAGGAAGGTAACTTACTTCTGCACACCAGGTCTGCTTTGGGCAGTTTTGGACTGTGGCAGTCAAGCCAGTGTCAGTGCAGGAGTAGGAGAGACACGGGTTGCTGGGGTCATTGAAGGAAGCACCAATCTGGATGGTAAAAAGGGAGAAACTATTTGTCTCGATTTCTCTTTGAGATTTACAATTAAGCCAAAGAAAAATCCTATTTAGTGACTGTCCCATGATACTTTCAGCCATGAAGTTATTACTAAGAATACAGATGGTTTGAAAGTCTTCTATTTCCATGAACAAGTTAACATTCTTTATGGAAGCACAGCACAGAATATGTCAAGATTCTCTGTCTTCAAAATAAAATTCACTAAAGTTACTCTATTGTATTTTCAAGAATTTTTAAAGAGAGGCTATTTTATGGTGAGCAAGGCATTCAGCATTTGTAAGGCTCTCAGTTTGAGGGAAAGAAATAAGGTGTTTAAATTAGAAATGTTCAAAATGGGCTTATCAGATTAGAACAAATGACTAGTCTCCCCAAGTGTCTTCTATCTTGCTTGTGCTCTATTTAAAATTCTTTAGATTGCTTCACAAGTAGCTGATGTTCAACATTCAAATCAGTTTGAAAAACTGTTCATCTCAACATCTTAGACCACAAAATGAACTTTCTTAGTAAACAGTAAATTAAGATTTTACTTTTTCAATTGTTCCATATCTACATAATTATTGGAATTTTTTTCTTTTCTTTAAACACCACGATTTTTTGTGTCTGAAAGTAGTCATATGTTCTCAGGTCAGATCGACTTGGAAAACTAAAAATTAAGAAGTCCAGGGAGAAATTTGAATGTGGTAAATGTGTTATACAAATAAAACTATCATAGGTTGCTTTATAAATTTCCTAACCTATCATGTATGTTTCTAGATTTTTTTAATATTTAGCATCAGATCAAGTATATTAATATCAATTTGAGAGACATCTGATTTTTATAACTTCCTAACACTTCTCCCAAAAAGTTGAATTACTGTCTAAAATGTCAAATCAGTTGTCAAAATCCAGCCCTTGCTATCCTTGTGTTGCTAAATCCACATGGTGGGGTTCTAGTCCTTTGGGTTTTCTTATTTGATCTCTGACAGTTTGGCCATCTGATCTTTCTGCCTCTAATTACAACTCAAGTCTGTTCATTGATTTGAATATTACAAACTATGTCTCCTCCATCTGGCAAGACCCGTGGGGAATTTTGTTCAGGCCCTCCACAGCTGGGTAGTTAATGATCAAGGGTATTTTTGCCCTTTGAAAAGAAACATGGTGAGCGCTACAATTGACGGTCCTTTGAAAAATGAACATGAAAACTGAAGAACTTATTCTACCATGACTGATGTTTTGGGATTTTTTTCATATGATAAGCCAAAAGACCCATGGTGTAGCTTAGCATTGTATTTATTCATATGATTATATTAATAAAAACATTTTAGACAAGAAAGGGCCTTACCTCATAGTCAGTATTATTATATAAACATGTTCTTGGTTCTGAAAAAGAAATATAAATTTTTATTCTAAAATAAAGTTTTTTAATGAAACTAAAATTATAGATGGGATCCTATTTATCAACCAATTATGTTTCTTCTCATAATAATATAATGTCTATTTAATCTACTACTTACGTTGGGTTTCCTTCATTCCAAAGATGCTATGTTTTAGAAGGAAGAATAGTAAATCTATTTTATCCCCTGACTACTGTTGTGTATAACACATAATACCCTAACAAGTGTCTCTTGAATATGTAAATAAGTAAACAATGAACAGATTGAATTCAAATATTGTACTACAAATACACACCACAGCGTCCAATTTCACAGCAGGTGTCATTAGATTTAAACAAGGTGAGCTTCTCTCCAGTTTTGCATGTGGGTGGAGAAGGACATTCCTTAGGTTGACAGTCCACAGCCTTTGCGTCAGTACAGGTACACTGATGGCAATTGGAACTCCAAGTGTCTCCAGGCTAGAGACACAAACCACAGTTAGACTTCCATTCAAATGCAGGAATGAAAGCAAATTTGGATTATAGTGAAGCAAAACTGGGTACTTACAGATTTCTCTTCTCCCAGTGGACCGTGACAAACTGTTAACATGAAATGACGAATGCTAATTAAATTTGGCAAAATACAACCATCTGTTATTTATAGATAACCAGCAGGTGGCCAATACTGTAATTGGCACCAGGGTTTTAGAGTCACAGAATTATGGAAGATTAAATAGTGCCTTAAGGTGGATAAATCACATCTACCTACTTCAAGCAGACTGTCCCTAAGAAGTGTGTGTGTCTTATTCTTATAAATCCCAGCAAAGGGTAATTCCTGATTTCATCTGGCTATGCCCAGTCAAACTTATGGCTACTGTTTGACTTACTGTTTTACAGTCTGATTTATGCTTCCACAATTCTATGAAGTCACAAAACTTTGTAATTATCAGACACAAAGCCCCTTTTCAGTTTAAATTCCTTGCCATAGCTGAGGTTATTAACTCTCACCTTCATGAAAATGTTTTCTTTCCTTTAGATTTAACTGGGGGAGACACCTGCCTTTTTATCTCTATTCTTTCTCAGTGGCTTTTGTCTCCATAATGTCCACTGTAAAATTAGGTGTGGATCTCAAACTTCTGGCTCCAGCTCAGACTTCTCTGACTTCTCTCCTGAGCTGTGGACTGACCCAGTTCTCTCACCACTTCACAGACAGCATCCCAATGGATATACAGCAACCTCAGGCTCGGAGTGTGCAAAGGAGACCATGCCCTCTTACCCCAAAACCTGCTTTATCTTTCACACTAGCTTTTTCTTAAGAACCACATTTATTCATTCAATAATCCGAGCTTAAAACTTAGGAGCCAACTTGATTCTTTCCCTCCCATCGTTCGTCACCCATTCTTCTGCCAAATCCTATACCTCTCTCCTTATTTTAATCCTCCTTTCTTTATCCTATTTGCTACACCACTACGCCAAAACCCTATTATCATTTATAATTCTAAGCTGGCTTAGATCTCTTTCTGATCTAATCAGTTCCTTGTGTCATGGGTAAAGTAATTTTCCTAATGTCTAAGTCTTAGTGCTGCTTTAATTAAAAACTTTTGATGGACTCATATAGTCTTCTAAAAAAAAAAATTATTCTAGCTTCCAAGGTCTCCCATATCATAACTGACCCACTTTTTAGCTTTATCTCACTTCTATTAACCTACACTCAATCTACATATTGTTCTCAAATTCCAATCCTATAAAGTAATTCCTCAAAAATATACAATATATATGACATAATATGCATTCCTTATATAATACCAATCTCAATTTTTTCTGTGAAATTTACTACTTTACATGAAAATCATCTTTTTCATTAAAAAATATTTCTTCTCTTACTGAATACTAAGATTAGAGAATTTTTTTAGTATTTTTTCCTATTTGCTATAAAATATCACATCATCTTCAGAATAGTAGGAGTTAGTTTTCTAAAATCACTAAACTCTGGCTAAATTGAATTTTTGTTGCTAAAGTTTAACCCTGTAAAAAGTCACAATGGTCTACTTTTTCAAATGTTCACTTTCCAGGGACAAAATTTTGGTAGAGATATATGATGACTTAAAGTAAGTAAATCTAAGTAACAAGGTGTACTTGTTTAGTTTGGCTGTTTTCATTGTGAGCGTGAAAATATTACTCATTTCTTTGGTGAATAAAAACTATATTTATCCACTTCAACTTACAACACTTTCATAACTAGTGATTTACTGGCCTGGCACATGAGATTTGATTCACATGAAGTATTACTGCAGAACGACAGTGTTAATGGAGATATTCTTACCTGGAGCTGGTGGAAGTGTTCCTGGACAGCCTGCATAAAAATAGAAAAGTCATGTGTCAGCAGTTATTGGAATCATGATGGGGAAAGTATAATTACCTAATTCATTGTTCTATTGCTGAAAAATGGCTACAGAGCCAGTCTTATAGGCATATGCCCACCTTCATCCTCTTTCTTTTCCTCCTGGCATTTGAGAACCCACCACTACAAAGCAGATCTTTTGCACCTCACTTTTTAATGTGAGACAAATACAAAAGTTGAAAGGAGAAGACATCAAGAGAAATTTCTTCTCAAAATTTCTTTAAAAGAAGTTCTGATGCATATAGCAACAAAAGAAAGAAAAGGATAATTCAGGTTTAAGAAATAAAATTACAATGACCTATCCTTAATCCTTTAAGAACTTTTTTCCTCTGTGTATCTTCTTGACAACTTCTACTTTGTTCTACCTCTGTCCCTGGCAAATGCTTTAAACTGGTCATATGTACACGTTTGAACATCAACCTATCACGGACTTTGGACAACTCAACAGTTTACTCACGAATCTCAAATTCTATTTCAAAACTGCTAAAAATAAAATTAGTTATTCACCCTCCCCCAATGGCTGGCCTAGGAGCACCAGAATCCTTGCAAAGAACTTGGAATTTCTCTACGTTTAAGTAAATTGACTCCAACAACTCATTTTTTCCCCCAAAAAAGAATAGAGTTGAAGATGTGAGAGCTGAGGGATTACACGTCTCGGTGTGTATGCTGTGGTGGCCTAAAGTAGCTTGTGCGACTCACTATGCATGCTTAGCCGATTAGTAGAAATGAGCAAGGCAAATCATCAATTAAACATAAGTGTACCAAAAAGTCTTCCCTGACTGGAACTGGAAGTTCATTAAACATATTTGTAAGAACAATCTCTTAATTTCCACATTACTGTTTCTCAAAACCATCTGATCATATCAGTCTCGATAAAATTCTGAATGAGATTTCAGTTATGCTAAGGATATAGAGTCTCATTTAATGTTGGACCTAAAATACTCCATAAACTCCATACATTCATTGCCAACATTTGGCTGGCTCCTGAACCCCTCCTTGCTCTGCTCCCACTTCACTCTCCCTCTTCTGTCCTCCCGTCCCTCTCCCCTAAGCTGAACTCCTCAGGCAGGGCCGAAGCCACGCTCATCATCATAGAGGCCGTGTTGCCAGCATTCACCCATTTGTGCGCTAGTTCCTGAAGCTTCCTGGGGTCTGGGGGAAGCAGTGATTGCCAACAGAGGGACAAATGGGCTCACTCCAGGGAAGCCACCCCATCTCCTGAGAGGCCACAAGAGAAGTTTCTTTATTCCTGTTTGACTTGCCTGTGGTAGTAATTCCAGGAGCAGTGGTTGTTTCTGATGTTTCCTTGGAAGTATCTAAAGTGAGAAAAGGAGCAATAATGCAATCTGAAGGACCATGTCCCTAAGACATCTCTGTATAGAACTAATACTGGTTCAGGACTCTTGCACTGAAATGCAGCGAGGTTTCTAGCGACTCCCTGTTCACAGAGATGAATATTTGTATGACGTCCACTTCTAGAGCCTCCTGAAGTGACAAGAGGCGCTCTTAAAACTCACTTCCTAAAACTTGGCTTCCTAGAGCTGTTATAAATTCTCTCCTTCCAAACTAATACCCGTGTGTGAGAAAATATCTCAGTTGATCAAGATGTCTTCATGTTCCCCTTGACTTGACTGACTTGTAAGCAGGATTTTCCTAGCTACAAGTCCCTGGCTTCCCTTTTCTTATATCATTTACTTTAGAAAACTTGTAATTATACAATGTTTCCTTGACCACTTTAAGATGCACATTTCCCAGTTTCTTGCCAGTCACATAACTCAGGAATATCTTTCTCAAGGATCTAGGAGCCACCTCTTTGAAATGCAGTTATGAGGACACAGAGTCCCTCAGTCTCTTGGTCCCTGTGGGAGACTAGGGCCTAACTTTGATCGGATTAAATGCCGATCAGTCAACAGATGGCCTAATCTAATCTATCATCTTCCTCAGTGGCCTACAGTATTTTCCAGGAGTTCACCACAGCACCTAGACTCACTTGCTTTTTGTTTCAGCAGGGCTAAAGTCTCACCCCTCCATTGTAACAGCTATGATCTCTACCGCAATAACCTTGCATAAAGACTTCTTTGCCTGTTCAGCTCTGTATGGTGAAATTTTCCTTTTACAGTTAGAGTTTTGATTCTCCTTCACAGAGATATATAGTGGTTCTCTGGAACCCTGGTGTTAATGGGAGAAGCACATTGAGCCTTCCTTCCAAGTGGACCCTTCTATTCCCTGGCGGGGGACTTCCTGATGTCCCTGTGATTCTGCTTGATACCACAGTGGTGCCTGCAGAGACAAATGAAGGACATTTCATAGCAGCACGGCCTCTACGCCTGGCTTTGATGAACAACATCAGAAAGGTATGTAAATCAGATGAAATTGTTGATCAGTGCTACAGCTAGTACATACAGCCCCTTTGTGAACTACAAAACAACAACAACAACAACAAAACCCTTAGGCAGATGAAGCCTCTTAGACGTATGTCATCTACCCACTCTTCTTTGCAGTGTGCATTGTGGGCCTCCACTACCTTACTGCAGGCTCTGATCTAAGTTCTAGAAAGCCAGAAGGAAAAAAAATAGTGGTTATTGATAACCCACTGGTAATCATTCATTGAACCTTAAAAAATCCAAGGAAGCATGAAGTAGGGACTGCTACCCTAATTGTGGTCAATTCCAGAGAGGGCATTCAGTTTTTTAGACTGAAAGTTAGAGACACTTAGTTACCTGTGTTTGAACTTCCAAGGGTAACAGTTGTGCCAGCTGCTACCCCAGGAGTACCTATTATAAGAGGGAAGGATAAGCTTCACAAAGCCTTTCTCATCCTAAGAAGAGGACGATGTTGTCATGTTTTCCTGTTTCTCTGATGCAACAAAAAACAACTGAACACATTTTCTTGCACCAGATGGTAAACCTGTGTTGTGTCCCCATGGCCCCTCGCATGAATACATGTCTGAAGAGCATATGGAAGAGAAAAGCCACAGTTGCCTCATCCATCCTTTTGTCTAGAACTAGAATCATCTACACTCACATTAATAAATGAGAGATCATTTTTCTTACAAATACATGATTTCCTTCTATTGACCTAACTCTGGTCCTCCAAGGAAGAGAACCAGAAAATAGTGTCTAAACTTGTGATTAACAACTGTTAATTGGCAAAGTTCTCTGCTGCTATTTTAGTGACTTCCACTGATCCTGGGGTACTGCAGGAGACAACGAGCATAAAGAAAGTGTTCTGTAGTGAAACCTATCATGTGTCCTCTAGGAAGAGCCAAGAAATAAAGAGTTTAGGTTGGCCTCAGGATTGCCCATTAAGGGAGAACAATCACTTTTTCAGTCACATTTGTTTTCCTGTATAGTGTGTAGGCATGTAATAAACTCAAATGGAAAATCAGAGAGAATTCAAAGTCAGGCAAAATTTACCTGATGAAATTTCTGCTTTGGTCGTTCCAACATCTTCCTTAAAAACTGTGGTCTCTTTGAGAACAAAGGAGGAAAATTGAGATGAAAACCCTGCGTATATAAAAATCACATAGTAGCTTGTGATCTTGTCCTTAGAGCATTTAGAGGAGAATCTGACTTACCAGTTTGGATACTTCCAGGTGAGGCTGTAGTCCCGGTGGAACCTGGGATCAGAGAAAAAACACAGGAGGGGGTATGTGAGCAACAAATTTTTTCCTCCCTTCCTTTTATCTGCCCCTCCTCCTTCCTTTCTTTTGGTACTAGGGATTGAACTCAGGGCCTTTGCACTGAGCTACCTCCCTAGCCCACCCCCTCTTTTTTTTGTATTGTGGGACAGGGTCTCACTAAATTGCTAAATTGCCCCACCTAGGTTTAAACTTGTGATCCTCCTGCCTCAGCCTCCCAGAGTCTTGGGATGATAGGCATGCACCACAATGCCTGGCTGCAAAATTTGCCTTATTGAACAGAGATTATCCTTTAAGATAAATCCAGTTGTTCAGGTGAGACAGTGTACTCCTCCACCAGAATTCTTTGTCCTAAAAGATGAAATTACATGATGTTCTGTTGTATTCCCCCAGTCCTCTGGGGTCTTTCTTTCCCAGAGTATCAGAGAGATACAGTCTTCCCCAGCCTCAACTTTTTCTGTTTTCTATGCCCACCTGTTTTACTTCTTGTACCTCAACTCCCTGGAATCATTCAAGTGACTCATGAAAGTTAAGTAATGGAAAGGGCTGAGTGTCTGGATATATTAAATCTTTCAAGATAGCTCCTCCCTTCTACTCAAACTTTTATGACTATGAGGCTAAGTTCTCTAAAACATGTGCCTTATTCATCAAATGTATCCCTGGCAAATCCTGGCAGATCCTACAAATTTAATCTGAGATTCTGAATTCCCAAATTATAGGCAATTTGGTCTTCTACTATCTCCCAGTGCCCCAATATTCTGTTAGGCTAAGGCAAACACATTGGCAACTGCCAAACCAAAAGGTCTTCCTTTTTTAGGCTCTTTTGTCTTCACCCACTCTGTTTTTTTACTCTGTATGATTATCTTAAACAAACCCCGTGGCACTCATACTGACAAAATCATTTGTAAGCAAAGGACTGACACATCTTCATCTCCAGTATAGCCCAAGCTTCTGGGCTCCATGAACGCTTATCCCTTCTTCTGCGTATCAATACCAGGAAACCTAGAGCACGTCACACTCAAACTATCAAAAGCTGACCTTGCCTCATTTTCTATCGGTTACTTTTGTCTTCTACTTAAAGAAAAAATACTTCCAAGAAGATAGCTTTTTGCCCAAGATACAATAGAGAGCTTTCTTCAGTGTTTGACTAATCTACATTGGAATTTTCAACAATAGGTGCAAGGGAAGAAGATACTCCATTGGAATTTGAAACGGAAAGAACACAGATTGAGAGACAGTGAAATGGAGGGAGAGAAAGACATTGAGACTTTTTAACCCTGATAATAGCAGGGACTTGGACAAATTCACATTTCTTATAAGCAGTAAAATGTCCTCTTTGTGCAAGAGAAGCAAACACCATGTTTTCTTAAATACATTATCTTTCTACAGTACCAATATATGTAAAAACTCTCATTTGGACCTCTTTGCTATGGTTTATTCCTTTGGCAAGGAGTGCATGCCCTCTGCTCATGTGTTTTATTTCTTGTGACTTGGCTCCATGGTGCTTCTGTGTGGGTGCCATGGTGGGGAGAGAGGGTATGTTAAAAATAATTTAAATGTGTTGGAACCTTAGTCATTAGGCTTAAACTCATGAAATAAGGTTTTATACTCACAAGAAGCACAACTAGGTGAATTAATCATCTCTGCTGACCAGGACTAGAATTTTCTGGGTCCCTGGAAACACTACCTGAACCTGAAGTGTTTCCCACAAAATGAGATGGACAGAGGATTGAGAGGAACACATCACGCCGAGCTTGCTAAAATCACATCTAAAAGGCCGGTGTGTGGAGCAAATCAGTCTAAGGAGCGAAGCCCCAAGCCTGATTTACCTCACGTATTATCTCTTCAAATAAAATACAGAACCCTCTTTCAACCCATTTCTCATTCATTCATCATCTACCACAAACCTCAAGAACACTGAGAACTTGAGGTGCTGACAGATCAAGCTACTCACCAGTCACCCTGCTAACTTCAGTAGCAGCGCTGACTTCTGTGGAAGTTGTAGCTCCTGTGAAGAAACAGGAAAAGGTGTTATGGAAAACAGATACTTGGGGAATTGCTAATTTGTACAATAACTCCACTGGAGACATCAGGTCCTCTGAAGTTCAGAGCTAAATCTCTCCACCACTTTGACGACTCATGTGTGTTGGAACTCCCAGGGGCAACAGTTGTACCAACAGTTATCCTAGTGGTAACTGAAATCACAAAAGGAAAGAATCAACATGAATTCCCTTTAGGATTTGGTTTAGAATATATGTATGTATGTATGGTTATATTTATTTATTTGGAGACAGGGTCTCACTTTGTAGCTCAGGGTGGCCTCGAACTCACAGTGGTCCTCCTGCCTCAGTCTCCTGACTGCTGACATTATAGGTGTGTGCCACCATGCCTGGTTAATTTATGGGTTTCTTTAGTGAACTAAAAGGAACTTTCCTGCCTTGAGTGATACATCCTGCATAGTCTTAACTATGCCACTGCATTTCAAGTTTATAAAGGGGGGTTCACATGGTAATGGGTTAGCATACTGGCAACTTGTACTTACAGAAATTGGGTAAGCTTTCCACTGACTTTATTATAACCAATGTAACTTACTTTAACATAATGAGAATAATAATTATAATAATAAGATAATGAGAATAATAATTATTTGGCAAGTGGTCACCTATTTTAACTTCAGTCTCTGTGGTTCCACCACCTCTTAAAGAAGTTGTGGATTCTAAGTGAAAGAAGAAAAGAAGTGAATTCAGAAGAATCACATAACTGAAGCTCCTGTTCTCTGTTACATTAGTGATTTACCTGTGTTGGGGCTTTCAGCTGCATACGTTGTGCCAGTGACTCTCCCAGTGGTGCCTGTAGCAGTGGACAGGGAGAGAGAAAGAAAGAGAGAAAACCAAAGTAATGATGTTTATCATCCTAAGAATGTGGTTAACAATGACTCCTGGTGACCTGAAAGCAAGAGAAAGCCCTTCGCGGGCAATCTGTGATCATAAAGTACATTATCCATTTTAAAATTCAAAGTCATATTAAACACATTAAAACATATGAGAAGATCGTTTTCAGGGATAGCTTTTTCCAGAATTGTTTTATGTGCTTACGTTATGCTTCATTATCAATGTAAACTTGTTGGTGGGGGGTGCAGTGCGGGGCGGTGGTGGATTTAATGACAACATCCCTTTGTCTGGGCTCAGTGTCAGAGAATAAAGGTATCTTCCTTTATTTACCCGGTTGAATGTCAGTGAGTTGGCCACCAGCTACTTCCAGAAGAAAGAAATTACCCACATTATCACGTGGATAAAGTGCTGATTTTATTGAACTGTTAGCGTCCTACAAAAGTTTAGACATGTGATAATGAAATTTAGTAGTATTGTATAGTGATAATGTAATATGGACAAGAGGAGAGGCTCTGGCTCCACACTGCCTCAGCTGAAATTTGTTATTATTTACTTGCATTAGGACCTTGGGCAAGTCAGTACCTCTGAGCCACAGATTTTCACACTTGTAAAATCAGTAAAAGTAATAGTACTCACCTCAGCATTTGGGGTAAGGAATAAACAAACTAGAAGAGGGTATAGGATAGTATCTGGCACACAGCCTACTAGAAAGTATTAGTTATTGAATGTCACCACTGTTACAAGTGCAAAGTAGAGGGCTTCGGAAACTTGTGAACTCACTTGTATTCATTCCACTTCCTGTGGTTGCACCACCCCCAGAGGTTGTTGTAACTCCCAAAGGAAGGTAAGAAAAATGGGAGGCAACAAGGATTTAGCATTCTCAGGACAGCCAAGAACATACTTTTGTTGAGTGCTGTATCGTGAGAGACACTTCACAACTAGAGGAGACCTTGTGGGGAATCTCATCAGATAGTCAGCTCAACCGTGTTTGACATCTGTGCCAGAAGCTACCTTAAGGGAAATGGAGAGGTCCTCCCACTAGGGAGAGATGAAGTCAGAAGGGCATTTGGGCTTTACCAATGGGAGGTGAATTATTTACATCTTCTCATGCATAGTTTTATTCCCAAACCAAAGAAAGATGGAAATTCATCAACATAGGCGCCCCTGCCTTCGGAATTCAGCTAAACTAAGTGGCTCCTTCCCTGCCATATTCACCTATTGTGCTTCCGGTTTCCTGACTCACTGATGTGCCAGTGGTAGCTCCTAAAGAGATGAACAGAGAAAAACCTTTGAGCATAAAGATAAACTAGAGTTAGTGGAAAAACTACTACACAGTCCCGTCACTTTTGTGCCCAAGGAAGAATCTACTGCATTGAGGTTAATTTTCTGTGTTCATGTTGGCCTTGTGTTAACCTGAAATAAAACACAGTAAGACTGTACTTTCTTCAGCTGCTAGTGTGCCGATGTCTGAACTGACAAGTAGGAAAAGAATACTTTCTAGATAATTATCGCTTCCATTCACATTTGCAAGGATCTATATAGGTGCCTGGGGCATTTCTAAGACTTCAAAAATCTACCCAAGTTGACTCAAAAATCAACTAACAAAAGAATACTTTGTTGATTTTAAATAAGAGTTCCAAAATATCACTTATTAATATCCTAATAAGAAATATAATGGTAATTTACCATCACCCCAAAGTCACACACACACACACACACACACACACACACACAGACCCCCACTCCGTACCATGAATCATCACCTTTTTCCATCCTACCACAGGGGTTCACTGACTCCTGTGGAAGTGGTGGCTTCCAGAAGAGAGAAAAGAAACAGGTGAAAGATGAAGGTTTAGGAAGAAGGGAATACATGCCCTTGGAAGGGTGCGGGGTAAGGTATTTTTTTATGACCTTATTTCCAGGGAGAACTTTGCAGCTTGGTAACCTACCTGTAGTAGAACTTCCAGATGTAGTGGTTTGGCTCAATGTCACACGAGTGGTGCCTGAAAAAGAAGGCCATGGAATCCACACAAAGAAGCATTCGCATTAAAGCAATTACAACATAAAATCAGCACAGAAGTGCTGTGCACACAGACAGTTTTGTCTACTTGGTGGTTCTATGAGCAGCATGTCCTTTCATTGTCCTTTCTGCTCCTGAATTAGATCAGGTATTTTCCCCATGTATCGATCTTTTACTTCATTCAATAAAGATGTATTGAGCCCTGTTTAGTACTAACGATCAGTGAACAAAATAATGGAAGACCTTTCTCAAGATACTTGTCTTAGAATAGGCTTGCTCAGCAAATACAGATACTCTTCAAATGACAGACAAAGAAGTTCCCAAAAATCTTACCAGATTTACTTTCAGTGACTTGTGTGCTTGATGCTCCAGACGTGGTTCCTGGTGATTGAAAGTAGAAAAGTGATTCAAGTATGATTTGACCTTTATTCAAACACTGAGGCACACATTAAGCAATATTTTAATATTTACAGCTCAAGTAAAAAGTCAAATGGGAGGCAAACAATTTCTGATTTCATTTTTAAGTCTTGTGTTTATATGAGAATAAAACTTCCTGGCCAGTCTTGACTTCTGCTGCTAACACCTGTAATGTCCAATGGGATAATTATCAAGGGAACTACTATTTCTACCATCTCCAGACATCTAAGACTAGCAGGCCAGACAGCAGAAGAGGCTGGGCCAGAGACCATCTCAGGGGTGTGTGTCAACAGCATGGCTGGTCTGGGTCATGGGTGGGGGCACCTGCCCTTCTTGTACTATGGTCTTTTCCATCCAGAGGAAACTCATTTTTTTGTTGTTTTTTTTTTGTTTGTTTGTTTGTTTGTTTTTTGTTTTGGTTTGTTTTGGTTTTTCTCCGGTACCGGGAACCGAACTCACGACCTTGCGCTTGCCAGGCAGGTGCTTTTGCCGCTGAGCTAAATCCCCAGCCCCCCAGAGGAAACTCATGATGGAAGTAACATGTGGTACTCCTACATCTCACTGATTTCTTCCCAGTGGCTCTAGTGGTTCTAAGCAAACTTTGGGCTCTAGAAGAGGAAATAAAGAATGTGGAAAGCACTTCAGGAATGCACATTCCTTCTCTTCTTGAGGTTAAATAAGGGTCATGTTTGTGAATATTCATTTACCTGTAATGGGACTTTCAGGTACAACAGTTGTTCCAGAGACCACTCCCTTGGTACCTGGAATCACAAGAGGGAAAGGATTGACGCATCATTTCCTTTATGTTAAAAGAACAGCTAAAAAGAAAAACAGACACTTTTTCTGAGTCATGGAAGACCTATTTTAGGGTTCCTCATATACTTTTTCCACAAGTGTATCTTTCCAAAGGTGATAAAAGTCAGAAAGGTTAAACTCTCATAATAGATGTCTCCTTGTTCTGGATTTTGGTACATATCAGGGACATACCCGTATTTTTTCATGCTTACTTATTTGACTGTCAGAGACTCGGCTCCCTGGTGCACTGGTCTTGGCTCCTGAGGAAAAGAGAATATTTTACTACATGGAAACATAAGGATTTGGGTAAAGCACTGATATTTGGAGTTTGGGAGCTTAGACAAAGACTTCCACAAGCCAAAACCACTCTATTTTAAATCAGCCTTGTCAGAAGGAATACACAGACTTCCCACTTTTACCTGGTACTGATACTGTTTCACTGGTTGCTGAGAAAGTTATGGGCTCTGAAAAAGGTGAGAAAATGGTGAGGGTATGAGAGGTTTAGCTGGGGAAACAATTACTGTAGAGCCTGTCCCAGGCAGTCGTCCTTCCCAGCTTGTTGATTTACCCGAATTGATGTTATCAGGGGCAACTACTTTCTTAGTGGTTGTTGTGGCAGAGGTTGTTGTAGTAGAGAGTTCTCTAGAAGTTTCTATGTAAGGAGGAAAATAAGACAACATGGTTCTACTTTCCTAACCCTGACGTGACCAAAAAGATACTTCCTGTACCTGTAAATGGCAGGAGAGAGAGCTTCCTCATTTACCACGGGCTGTCACAAAGCCAGGGATGATGCAATGACTAACCTTCCAAACAGTGAAGGTTTTATCAACCTCTATTTACCTGTCTTACTTCCTGGTACTCCAGTGGTCACTCCTAATAAAAAGAAAATGGGAAATAAAGTGCATGTTTTCAATTTTTACCTTCAAAGTAAGAAATCTTACTGGTTTTTAACGTTGCTTGGAAGTCAATAATGTTACACAGATGAAGCTTTTTTCAAAGGGGAAACCATTTTAGAGCCAGGAGTATTATAACTGCCCTCCACAGATCTAAATCCTCATGGTTAATCTCTGAGAAAGAAAAACCCTAGGCCCAGGTGACCCCAAATTTATAAATACACCCTGCTTTCCTTGAAATATTATACCCTTAAAAGCAAATAAAAAACTCTACTCCACTTCAGAGAAAGTCTCTGTATTATTAATGTAAATAATTTGTTAATTAAAATTATACCAACAAAAAAACTTACTGAAAACTCCACAACAATAAATAACTCAGAGCAGTAGTAAAATCAGGTGAAGATTTGGGGGTTTTCATTATTTACCGTTGTGGTCTGATATCAAATTGATAGATTTGTTAGGGGAAATAGAGTTTGTAAATAATTTTTGAAATCGTGGTTTCTTAAAAGAGAACCGAAGTGAACTCATTATCAAGAAAGAGGGATGAGCTAAGATGAAGCCATTAGATGAGGTGGCATAATTTAAAATTTACCGCCTGTTGGTTGGGGACCAGGCTATGTGATAGATTATGAGGGGCTGGATTACTATAAGATTTAAGAAAACCTCCCCCCCACCACAATCCAGAGGTCGGTGTGACCTTGCTTCCTTGCTTCCGGAACAGGGACAGGTATGGAAGGCCAGGTGCCCCCTGGCTATGGGCAGAATGTTAATAACCCGCCTGTCCTGAGGTGAGACAGCACCTGCTGAGCACTGTTGTCAAAATACAGGCATTTGGGTTTAGAGAGAATCTGGTTCCTCATTAACTCAATCCTTATCCACCCATTTCTGTAGTTACTGCTCTATGACAGGGGTGCCACCCCTCCCTCTGCACTTCTTTCCAGCCAATAAGAGGGACCCAACCGTGGAGACAGCCAGAGGCGAACTCCTCCCTGTCACCCTTGTACCCGGAAATTTGTATCTTTGTCTGTCTCTATTCCCTGTCATTCCCCCTACAGGATGAGGGTCAGATCAGGCTTCAGTACCTATGGCAGAGTGATAGAAGTATTCACCAAATCAGTTTAATTCCCTGTGATTTGGGAATAAATAATTTTAACTCCAAATGAATCTTAACTGGTCTTTATGTTCCTTACTTTGAATAAGCTTCTTAATTAAAAAAAGTGTGAAACTACCATGAGATATACTCATTACTGTTATCACCATTTTTATTGACGTATTAGACCTTCCGTGTACAAGAGTTTTGTCAGTGGCTACTGTAAGTCTCCAACCTGGCCTGACTCTCCCAGCCCCCAGCCTGCTGGCAGAAGCATTACTTTCTCTGTGGGAACTCAGCTCAGCACTGAGGCTGCCATCCACAAACACAGGAAAGGAGATAAGATACGACAAGGAAGTTTGCAGGACCTGGAGATGCCCAAAAATTTACAAGGGACACTTCAAGGACTTTGCCCACTGGGATATAAGGTTGCCTGAAAACTTTAACCACAGATGTTGGCCAAACCTTTCCCCTGCGCTCTTTGCATCCTTAAAAAATGGGGCACAATTCTCTTTGTTGGGGCAGATAGCTTTGTCACTCGGCCTATCTGCACCCAGATAATTAAACATACGCCTAGTTGCTTTCACAAAAGCCTTTCATTTCATCTCCTACCTTGTATTTTATTAGAGCTACCATATTGGAATTTGAAATTAGTGAGTGATGGGAATCAATTTGTCAATTCTTTATCCTTAATTAGAACAAAATGGTCTCAGATGAGGTGAGCGAACTCTTGGGTTTTCTCAGTATGCAAAGAAACTCTTTTCAACAATTTCTAGAACTAGGAGCTAATCATTACATATTTTCCAGATACCATTCCAAGCCCACAGAAAATTTAATGACAAAAGTTTCAACAACTTCATTTGTTCCTTTATATACCAGTGAGAGAAAGAAAACACATTTCTCTCCCAATAAACTAACAGATTCCCAGGGCTTTCACTCCACACTGGAGTCTCCCTGGAGCAGATGAAAAGAGGGTAAGAGTTTGAGTATCTGACTTTTAGTCACTAGGTCAAATCCTGCCTGTCCACTAATTTTTGTTCAAAAAATGCTCCTCACAGGAGGTACAAATGCCAGACACAATTAACACAACTTTATGTCGGAAGTAGGTGGGAGGCTGCGGCGTTTACCTGCAGTGGTTCCAACTCCAGTCGTTCCGGTTTCTCCAGGAGATGTTGTGGCTGCTAAGACAGAAAATACATTCAAAGACTTTGCAGTGAACTGTGGTGAACCAAAAAGGAAAACACATCATTGCAAGAAGAGGATTCCTGTGAAGTATCAACCCACTGATGCCAGTACTTCCGGAGGCTATTGTTGTGCTGGAATCCACCCCAGAGGTACCTGGAGTGCAAGAGAACTGAGCTCATCATGATGGCTCACTAAGTTAAAGGAGGCACCTACATATGTGTATATTCGTGCACACATAACTGTATGCATTTGCCATAACCAAAATTTCTTCTCAGAGCATCTGGTACATCAGCTCTACTTTCTTGCTTTCCACAAATCATAATCAGAAATAGACAGTGCCCTCGGTTTGAGGTACTTCTGCCTGGATTTGATTTTTTTAAAAAAGGGCTAAATGCTTTTTGTCCTAACAACTTTGAACATCCAAGAAAACTCTCATACACATGGGTACACATACATATACATGCATATGTCCTGGTTCCATAGAGCTCTTAAATTGCTGGTGATATTTGGAATGTCTGTAGAAAAATCTCATCCCATTCCCAGACTTGGAGCAGTCAATAATTGTTCAAAGTTTTCCCTCCGGGTTCTAGGGATTAAACCCAGATTCCCACAAATGCTAATTAAGTACTCTAGCACTGAGCTACATCCCCAGCCCTTTTTTATATTTTATTTTGAAGCAAGGTCTTGCTAAATTACCCAGGCCGGCTTTTAATTTGTGATTCTCTTGCCTCAGGCTCTCAAGTACCCAGTATGCCCAGCTCAGAGTTATTTGCAGTAACAAACCTACTTGATTCACTTGGAACACCGCTGAACAAAATGCCAATCTTCGCAACAAAAGTTTATTCCACAGTCCTCAGCATGATAACCCCAAATCATAGACTAATATATTCTCACCTGTTTTCAGTGCAGTCCCAGTCGTACCAGGCCTTTCTGGGGAAGATGTGGCCTCTGAGAAAAGTAACAGGAGAATGATGAAATGTGGGCATTTGGAAGACTAGGAGGAGACATCGGGTGGTGTTTTGCTGCTGCATCCCTGTTAGGGTTTATATCTAGATATCCCACAAGCCTCATGCACTCATAGGTAGAACTTTCGGGAGGCGGCTGGATCATGGAGGCCTGATATTCATTAGTGGATTAATCCACTGATGAGCTTTTAGCTAAATGTGATGTCGGGAGGTGAAGCCTGGTCAGAGGAGGTGGGTTCCTGGGGTGTGGCCTGGCTCTATCTTTTCCCTGCTCCTCCCTTGATCCCTCGCTCTCAGCTTCCTGGCTTCCATGCCATGAGCTATTTCTCCTCTGCAATGCCTCTCTGCCATGCCACCCTGCCTGCAGCCAGAGGACTGGACTGAAACCTCTACAAATTTGTTAGATTTATCAGATATTGTGTCTCAAAAACAAGAAAGTAACTAAGACAAGCCCCCAAAGAGATATGACATTTAGGGTTAAAATAAGACATTCCTTTCTTATTAATCTACCTATGTTAGAACTTCTAGACATAATGGTTGTTCTTGAAAATTCTCCAGCGGTACCCAAAACATAGAAAAGTACACAAAACCATAGAGCATTACTTCCCCAGTCAATCTTGGAAGCATCAGTGTGGCCCTTAAGCACTGGGCTGGGAAACCCCTTCCTAGGACTATCTCAGAAGAGAATGGAAAATAACTTCCTAGTATTGCATGTCCCAGACCAGCCTAGGAATGTTGCTACTAGGTTCCCCTTCCACTATGCGGTGGGGTTAAAAACAGGGCTTTACGTCCCTGGTTCACTTCAAGGGACCTGTATCTCTGGGGTGCCACAATAAAAGAACAAAAGCACAGTTTTAATATCTGTAAGTGGCCTCTCTGGTATAATGTGGGGTATTTCCATAATCATTGCTTTTATGAAGTTTTCTAGTGAAGGCAAACAGAAAAAATAAACTTCTATTTACTTTATGTTAATCAAGAACAAGTAAGTCCTAGGGAGTTGAAAGATATGTGGCATGCTCCTGTTCTCTGCCCCTGCCCCAGGGGAGGGGGGAAGGTCTCTGTGACCTAGGACAGAGGACATCCTGACAAAGACATCTGAAATCACGGAACTTCTGTGCAGAAGAACACCCCCAGTTATAACATAATATGGGCCTAGGGAAAATACAGCCTCTTCTATCATACTCCCTTCTATTACTTGCTCATGGCAGTGAGGGGACAGAGAAATAAGAGCTCCAGGCCCAAGACTGAAAATGCCACCTCCTGGGAGTCCCGCTCATCTTGTACTGTCACCTCCTGGTAAAGCTATATCCTCTGAGAAAGCAAAAAACTGTACGATATGAAGACTGGACAGGACATCTTGGGCTCCCATACAAATATATTCCCAGAGACCATGTTAAGATTTCTGACCTGTGGTGGCACTTCCAGGTCCTGAGGTTTTGCCAGAGATGCCCTCAGTAGTACCTGAAATAAACAGAAGGTGGCGGTCAGTTGGTCAGTTTGCTGCCCTTCAAGAAATGGATATAAAGCTCTTCAATGACAAAAGGCCCTTTGTTTTTCTTGTATCCCAATAAATTTGTTTATCTGGGCTTTTTAATTTTACCAATTTATTCATCCATTCATCTATCCACCTATCTGTCTACCTATGTATCTACCTGCCTATTTTGAGGGGTATTTGCCTGTTTTAATGTCAGTCTGTTTTATTGTAATAAATTTCCTTTTATTTAAATGTCTCATTTCCTGGCAGTATGTTATTCCCTTGGCAAGCACACAGTGAAAGTCCTTCACCAAGCACCTCCTGTTAGGTTCAGTTACAGGGAGAGAGATCTGCGTCCACAACACCCACTGAACCTCAGCAAATGGGCCCCGGCATGTCCTGATGAGAGCACAGGACATAAGGAGGAAACACTGAAGCGTCTGAACTTCAATTTGAAGAATGTTGAAACTCAGACAAGATTTTGGGAAGCTCTCAGAAAGTACAGTCAGTGCCTTAACACAGCTCACCTGTGATTATTCTCCTGCTTTTTGCACTCTCTGGTACAGAAGTTGTAGCCTCTGAGAAGGGGGGAAACAAGATAGAGCTGATTGGAGAAGATACAGCAGTTCTCCTACACAGGGTGACACTGCAGGGGAAATCTCATCATAGAGGGACTCCTGGAAGGTTCCCCTAGACCTTAGTGACTCAACTGTGTTGGCAATGGCTGCGTCAACAGTTGTCCCAGGGGCTACCGTAGTGGTGGCTGGAAAACAAAGGGTCTGAAATCATCCCAGGGACCTGTGTTTGTTTCCTAAAGATGTGCCACTGGGAGGAATCGCGACATGTATATCTCATTAGAAGAGTCCTTTCGCTGTTTCATCTTCACTGATGAGATAGGAATCAAACGCATTTCCTTGGACCCACTGCCATTAACAAAGCAGTTAAAACTGTAATGTTCTTAAGCTGAGGCCCCTTCCCATGAAATTATCTACCCCACAACAGGGAACAAGGTGGCTTTTTCCCAAGTTCACCTGTCAGAATCCCAGTTGTATGGCTTCTTGCTATTGTGGTGGGACCTATGGTGGGGAATAGACCAGAAAAATATTTCAATGTACCGAAAGCAATAGTCAGTATCATTTCTCTATTAATGAAACCTTTATGCAGGACAGGATGGCTTCTAGAACTCACACTGCTCTCCCTTCTTCCTAAAAATACATTCCTTAACTCCCCCAGACCTTAGTAATGTGTACAACATCCTGCGAGGTGCCCCTCACACCAATTCATCACACATCTTTACAACAAAGTTACAGCTGTGAGTCTAGATGCTGGTGTGAGCGCTTTCCCAGAATATGCTCAGTTAAGAAAATACAAAAAGTAACTGCACATTATTCTGCAGGAAAACACGCCTCCCCAAAGGCGAGCCTCTGGAGAGTCATAATGCATCTTAGCTCACGCTATGGGCTTCCCAGACTCCCTTGCTCTGGACCCATTCCAAGGAGGGCTGCTGCCTCCTGCTAAAGCTGTGTCCTTTGTGGCACGGTGGCTCCTCCCCACAGAGCCTGGTCAGCATGGAAGAGGATCTTATCTGTCCTTCGCCTGTTTACCTTCCAGACACAGGGAAACAGAGAACAAAGTTGACGAGAGATTCATGTCTTTAGATCTGACTCATCAATGACCTGAAGTGTTTTTCTATTCAAATGTTTAAAATAGAGCTCCTTGACTGTATAGCTCTTAAATGATGATGTGATTTAGTCCACCCTGCCTAGCTTGGAACTGTGACCGCCTGCTGCCTCCAGGTGAAACATGGTGGCACCTATTAAAGCAACAGAGGAAACCAGCTTTGAAGCAGTAGATCATCATTCCACTGATACTTCTCAAGAATTTCTCTCTGTGTAACATTGTTTTAGGCCCGTGGGATGTATCAGTGAGCAAAAATTTAGAGATCTCTTCCATAATGTAGCTCACATTCCAGCAGCTGGAGGCCAGCAATGAACAAAAGGCAAATAAACAAGTCAATGTGATTTGACTCCTTTCTAGAGCTTGTGACATTGGTAATTTCACAGCATCAGTGACTCTCAACAATTAGTATAACCGTCCTATTCTCAGAGATTCTGGAGTCTTAATGGCAGTTTTCAGGGAAATTCCAATGCTGTAGAAGAATTAGTTGGCCAAAACGGAAGTACATATTAGTAAATGCAAACTGCCCTCCAGAAATGTCTCTTCTGTAGCTCTCCTAGGAGTACAATTAGCATTAATAAAAAAGAAGTGAGCTTCTGCCTCTCTTCTGTTTTGAATCCAATTCTGGTGATGCCAACACCCTTTTATGAAAATTGTAGTCTCTGAGGGAGCAAATGGTATAACACTAAGCTCTGAGGATTTAGGATATTTTCTGTGGTGTTTTGAACACAATCCTACCAAGAAATCATTTCCTCTGAGTGTCTACAGAAATGGCGTTGATATTATTTCAGCTAACTGTATTATCAACTTATCTTCGGATGGATGTCTCAGAGCTTAGACTTTGCAATGACACTTAAGAAAATTTAGCAACACATCCTAATTTATCATGGAAGCAGGTAACTGGCCTCAGAGCTAATACTTCAAATGATAAATCACAAATGTCCTTTTATGTCATTGCCTTAGCCCAATTATTCATAACTGCCTTGCAAACAGGTATTTCTATATTGTAGACTTCATGCCTGTTTTACTTCTCTTTGTGTGCTTCCCTCGAGTTTCAGGAGTGAATAATAACTAGAAGAAGTAAGAGAGGCAAATGAAAGATAAAGTTGTTATTATTGTCTTCTGCCACACTTAATACCATCCATGACATCCATGAAGCATGAACACATACACTACATGCCCAAAACACTCATGGCAGGGTAAAATCTAGCTTTTGTTTCATTTATGTAACATTACCTGTGCTGGAAACTTCTGCAGTAGTTCTGATTTCAGGAAAAATGATGGTGGTCCCTATTAAAAAAAAAAAATTTCATGAACCTTAAACAGGAACATTTGGTCGAGGGGCCTAAAGTAGGCAAATCCAGAGGGATTAACAATTTTGCTGTGTCCTTAGGAAAATGTGTTCTTAGCCTTTATGTTCTTCTGTTCTTTGCTGCAAAATTTTATTTTTTTGTCTTTTTGAGACAGGGTCTCCCTATGCAGTTCAGGCTGGCCTTGAGCTCACTTTGCAGCCCAGGCTGGCCTAACTCACAGTGACCCTCCTGGCTCAGCCTCCTGTGTACTGGGATTACAAGCATGTGCCACCACGCCCAGCTGTCAAACTAAGTTGAAAAAGACACCAGAGGGCCAGGGATATAGTTCAGTAGCACAGTGCCTGCCTGGCAAGCACAAGGTCCTGAGTTTGATTCCTGGTATAAAAAATCAATCAATCAGTCAATCAATAAATAAAAAGACACCAGAGAGAGCCAGGCATGGTGGTACATTCCTGTAAGCCCAGCACTTGGAGGCTGAGACAGGAGGATCGCTATGAGTTTGAGGCCAGCCAGGGCTACATAGTGAGTTCAAGGCTAGGCTGAATTACAGAGCAAGACCCTGTCTCAAAAGAAAAAAAAAGAAAAAGAAAAAGACACCACAAGAAAAGCTAGATAATTTGCATGGTAATGGTAAATAACAAATAACACCAATATGTTGAGAAATATGGTACTGCTTCTTTTTCATAAGGGAACATTTTGGGAGTTGCTTTTGTTTGATAGAGTTTGTACCCTTTTGCACAACCAGTGTAGTTTAGCTATTATGAAAGGGAATCAATGCACCTTTTTTATTATTGAAGAAGGCATAAAAATAGAAAATAGCAAAAGCCCTATGCTAACAAAATTTAATTTGAAGTTCATGTTTTATTAATATGATAAGATTGTTATGTTTCTTCTTCTAGTTATTATAACACCATTTCTTTCAAGTGTTCATTTATAATCTCATGTTTTCTTACCTGCTTTTGCAGGCTGTCTTGATGACACTAAAATTTAAAAACACAAATATATTTATAAGTGTATATTTTATTTAAATTCATATATCAATTTATGTATTGGATTAAAATTTGGGAAGAATGTCATCTCCTTAGATATATTTCAAAATTAAAATGGGAAAGATAGAAATGCTTATGTCAATAAACCACATTATGCAGAAACACATTTTCTCATCATTTTTATTCCAACTTACATTCAATAAACATATTTGGAATTTCATTCTCTGGGGCTAAGAATGGAAATAATAAATTCATATTTTAATTAAAGAATATGCTTGAATTTTATTTAAAAATTCACTTCAAGCTAAAATCCTACAGAAAATTAGAATAGATGGTCTTTATCTCAATCTGATAAGAGCCATCTAAGACAAACCAACAGCCAATATCCTACTAAATGGTCACAAACAGAAAGCTTTCACTCTAAAATCAGGAACAAGACAAGGATGTCCACTATTCACCACTCTTACTCAATTTAGTTCTGGAAACATTAGCCAGAGCAATAACAGAAGAGAAAGAAATGAAAGGAATAAAAATAGGAAAGGAAGAAGTTACCATTATTTGCATGTGACATGACACTCTATACAGAACACCCAAAAAACTCCACCAAAAGACTTCTAGATTTAATAACCAAATTTAGTAGTGTAGCTGGATACAAAGTCAATGCTCAAAAATTAATAGCATTCCTATATACAAATAACAAATCCACTGAGAGAGAAATTAGAGCAACCACACCTTTCACAATAGCATGAAAAAAAGAGAGAAATACATAGGAATCAATCTAATGAAAGAAATAAAAGACCTTTATGCTGAAAGCTACACTACTCTGAAAAAGGAGATGGAAGAGGATATCAGAAAATGTAAAGGTATCCCTTCATCTTAGGTAGGAAGAAATGATATAGTGAAAATGGCCATACTTCCAAAATTGTTTTACAGATTTAATGCAACCCCGATCAAAATACCAACACCACACCTCACAGAATTAGAGAAAATAATCCTAAAATGCATCTGGAACCGGAAGAGACCTAGAATAGCAAAGGCAGTTCTGGGCAACAAAGACAAGGCAGGAGGCATCCCAATCCCTGATTTGAAATTATACTACAGTAGGACTGTGCTAAAAACAGCATAGTACTGGGGGGTGGGGTGGATACACACCCTGGTATTCTAGATAGCTAAATTAGGTATATAAATATAGTAGGCAGTCAGACAGAACTGGGCCTTTGAAGCAGTCAGTGCGAAGGACGAGGTCAGGACAGGGGCTGGAGGTGCACTTGAAGATTAAAGTCACAATGACTAGTTTAATATACTTCCCTATGGGATGAATGGAGACTTGGGATTATTGGTATCCCCTTTTGAGATATCCCATTATCTCATTAGGGGAGGGCCAACTTCTCCCATCTACTAAGACTATAAGACTAAAACTACTAATGTTAAAGACAAGGCCAAAGGTTGGGCTTGATGATGCAGATGCATGCCTGTAGTTCCAGTGCTCAGATGGCTGAGGTAGGAGAATCTCTGAGTTCTAGGCCAGCCTAAAGTGCATAGCAAAACTCTGTCTCAAAAAGAAAAAAACAAAGCCATGCAAAAACAGCAACAAAAACCATGCCAGTGTGACTCATGTGCACACTTCTCACTCTATAGTTTAATTGCAGCTTCACTATAGCACACTCAAGTTGGGGTTTCTGGGCCAAAGGGTAAATGTATTTGTGGACCTGTTATATTTTTGCCAAGCCGCCCTCCATGGATCCTCTTATTGTATCTGAAAAACACACTTGCAGTGGTTGAAACTTGTACTAGTTCATTTCAAGGAAGACATTGCAAGGTTCAAGTCAAAATTTCAATCATTCGGGGCATTTCTATCGCGCGCCAAACGGGCCCCAGAGCTCTGCTCCCTGAGAGGGCTGGCTTTCCCAAGACTAGGTATCAGTGCTGGGGGGGGGCACTTACTATTCCTACTATAAAGAAAGAGCAATCAGTAGTTCCCCAGACATAAATCCACTTGCCACAGGTGGCCTTGGATGTGACACATGGAGCTACAGGACTCAAGCTTGCCTGGCTGGTTTTGGACTTGCTTTGCTCTCATTCCTTCGTATTCCCATATTTGTAACTTTCTGAATGGAAATATGGATCTTTGGCCATTGAATGTTGGAAGAGTTTAACATTTCTTCCATTTTAAAGGGACTCACAGCTAAGAGTTTGCCTTAAATCTTAGAGGAGAGATGGAACGTAGACATTTCAGCGAAGTTGAAACTGTCAGGACTTCAGCAAATCTTAGAGATAGACTAAATGCATTTTGCATAAGGAGATGTGCATGGGTCTTGGGGAATCCAGGGGAAAATGTTACAGTTGTGACCAGATGCAACCCTGAGCCTCATGTGGTCATGAGGGGAAGATTTCCAGAGACTATGGAATCTAGAGTTTGTGAATAGTTCACTATTTATGGCTAGGATTGGAGTTATGAGTATTATATCTGCACTAGGGCAGATACCCTGCATAAAACATAAGGGAGGCAAAGAGGCTTCATCCTACCCTTTATCTCTTATTCCTTTTGCTGTACTCCAACTCCACGAAGAGCAGGCCCTCTACCACATATGGAAGCCAGCTGATAATGACTTGAAATACAACAAACTGTGATCTAAATGAACCATTACTTCCTGAATAATGAATGATGCATATGCTCAACAAACTCTAAGAAAAGGAATGAACAGAACACGTAAACAATAAGGCCAACCATGCCTCTAAGTGGGCCATCAAAGGAGGATGAGGCCTCAATCTGGAGAGGTGACATCTCATCCCAAACTACAGGTTGAACTCAACAAGATCAGGGACACACTGGGAAATCCAACTAGCTTGGGCACGACAGAGGATGAGGCGATGGTGCACGCAGCCTACTGGCACTTACCAGGCACCAAGGTGACGCTGCTGGTAGGTGGAATGCTGCTACCCACACTTGTGGCAAGGCTGCTTCCAGTTGAAGGGCCTGAGGTTCAAGGACGAGAAAAAGGTGAAAGGTGTCAGCTCCAGGAAAGCTGAAGTGTCAGCCAAAGCCTGAACACCCCAAGCAGACAGGAAAGCTCTCTCTCCCACGGGACACACATTCTGCTCAGGGGGAAGGGACATTTCCCCAGGAGACCTGGACAACTCACAGGCCACAAGCTCGGCCAGGGATCCTGAGGAGGGTGGCCAGAGTTTGCCCTGCTTGCAGCTCTGGAGGGCAGAGCCTGCTGGGGCGCCTGCCGCCTGCGTGGAACCGGGCTCTGGATGTCCTGCGCTCCCTTACATCTCTGC